CTGGAGAACTAATGCCTTAACTCACTCAAATAGTCGTTTACTTATTAAGGTGTAACGAATGTGCGTAGAGTTTTAAAGGATGCGGATAGTCTCACCTTGATTCTGGCGCATTGCTTATCGTTTTATAGATCTATTCTCATCCACCATCTTTGTTTGTGACGTAAAGAGTGTAAGAGTCACGTTTATGAATCGGACACTCTGAATGGATGCAGTCACAGCCAATCGGAGTCTGATTCAGAGGGTTGCCTGTCAGTTCTGTTGTTATGTGTACTGAAACGAGAGCCGGTATAATTCCACGTGTGAAAACAAAATAAAAATTGGAATACGTTATTTTAGTGTCTTAAAATTAGACTGAGGTATGAAGGGTTAACGTTACATCTTAGGATAATTTTTAGTCATGTTCTGTATACATACTAACATATAAGGGTATACTTAGTGTGGTTACTCCATGTTTACTAGCTATAACATTAACGTTACATCACTCTTTTTCACTTCTTACTCAGTCAGCCAGAGTGCAGATATCACCATTAGATTAACAAACCTGAAACATCATCCATTTCTTGACTGCTGGTGATGACATTGTTGTCAGCTGCTGATACTGCTGCTGCTGCAGCTTGTGGCCTGCTTCGATGACAATAACTTTCTAATATCCATAACTGTATAGGCTATTAGCTTAAAACTCGTCAGGCACTAGGAAGGATCACTTCTTCTTCAGGGCAGGCTACGCAGTACTCAGGCTAATGTCCCACAGTGGCTGCCTCTCTGGTGGACTCCAGTACTGCACATTACTCCCGAGACGTTATTAAAAAAAAATATATATTTTTCTTTTTTCTTTTTTAAGTGAAACATCCGGGGCTTTTCAGAAAACATCCGGGGCTTGAGCCCAAGTAGCCACCCCCTAGCGCCGCCACTGCTAAAGACACAATAACCCTGAGATAAAACACAATACAGACACATATAATATGTGAAACAAAGTAGAGCAGGAAGTAAATTAGATTATAGTAATTACAGCTGATTTTCATAAGCCCTGAAGTGGGGGTTTAATGTGAGGCCTGCCCCTGCATGCAGGTCCTGCTGCAGCCTCATGGATTCAAGCAGACACGTGCTTCCTCCCCCTGCTGGCCATATCCGGTCACTGCAGTTTATATCTGCTCACACCAGGATACATGAGTCCTGTGTGTGTGATGACGTTTCTCCAAAAAATGAGCCGAGCTGTTATAACCTCAGCTGAAGCTCACATTTCACCTCAGGTTTTAATATTGGCACCAGAAAAACCTATATATTACAGAATGCGTGTGTACACAGATCGTAGATAGGCCTACACATTTTTTTTAAATGTATAGCTAGGTTTTCTGCTGTGTTGTGTGGAGCAGAATCCCGAATTTTTAACCCTTAAGAAACCTCAGAAAAACAAGAGGGAGGAAACTCACTAGGCAGACAGGAAGAACAAGTAAATAGGTAAATACACAGAAAACATGTCAGGGAAGCCTTAGTATTCTAGTATTTCTATGTAATAACACGAATATCATACTTTTTACTCAACTAAAAGTTCCCTAGTAGGACATATACAAACATGCTGATATGGTATAATACAGTAGGGCCTACAGTATTTCATGTCAATCTAAATGTTGGTCGACATATATCTTAGACAATACTAAAATGCTCTCACGTGAATAAACACAGGAATCATTTAAACATAAATGCAACCATGTAATACTGTGAAAATATCCATTCTGCATAATGAGTACTTTTACTTGTATTACTTGAAGTATATTTAGCTAATAATTCTTCTGTACTTTATATTATTTTTTGAAATATGTCTGTGTGCAGAATGAGTACTTTTAATTGTTGTACTTTAAGTACATTTTGATGCTATTACTCTTGTACTTTTACTTCAGTAGAATCTTTAATTCAGGGGTTTTACTTGTAGTGGAGTATTTTAAGACCATAGCATTTGTACTTTTATTTAAGTAAAGGATCTGATTACTTCTTCAAACAGTGCTTTTACTTGACTTGAGTTGTTTCTGCATTAAAAAAATAAATACAAATAAAGATACTTTGCTGATTCCTATTATTGACACAAATAATAAATCAAGTTATGATGTGATCTCCACCTTTATTAGCTTCCACATAATAATGTGTCACAGTCAATATTTTTGCTGCACTACATTTATCTTAGTGAACATATTCAGTACAATATGGACTTTTTTTTTATTTCAACATTTCATGTTTATATAAAACGTTTTATTCTATTTTATTTTATCTATTTTCTGCACATTTTAACTATGACTTCCTATTTTTATATGACTATTCTTATTTCCTTTATTTATTTTTTTATTTTAAAATGGAGGAACTGTCACAAAACTGAATTTCCCCTCAGGGATAAATTAAGATTAACATAATTTTGGTGAGACCTTTGTAATGAATTATATTACAGTTTAGAAATAAAGACAGTAGTGATGATAACGAAGCGTGAATACATGAAAAAGCTAGAGGCTAAACTGATATTGAAAAACTGAGAGCTGTTTTACTCCCTTTGCTTACAAAGAGCACTGTTGTAAGCAAACCTTTAACAGCAGTAGAAAGATCTTAAAATATGGAGTTGTATTTGGATTGTGCATGCATTACATATGCATCAAAAAGCAATAAAAAGTACTGAAGTATAAAAAAGCACTCATTCTTGAGCTTGGAGCATTTCAGAGTGATGAATAATTGACGTGTACACAGTATTTAATGACATATACAATAATCCAGATTGTCATTTGACTGCATATTATGAATATATGATGACTTGACCTTTTCCCAAAATCAAAATACAATACCAGAGCGAAAGTGTAGTTTAAAAGAAAAATATTGATGTTTATTTTAGCCTAATTTATAATGCGTTAAGGTTTGATCATATACCTGTCACTACAATAATGTCCATAAGCTTCCATTCAATTCATAAGGGCATGTGATATTCATATTTTAAATCACAATAATCTGATTTATTATAAAATTATTAATAATATAGTTGATACTGTAAATATTGCAGGGGGTAATCTCTATAATGAGTATTTGTATTTGTTTTCATAGTACAATTACCTACTTTTATTTTAGAAATATTGGCATTCAGTGCTTTTACTTGTGATTGAGTGTTAGAGTGGTTTTGGTACTTTCACTTCAGTAAAGGATCTAAATACTCCTCCAGCGATACAATTTGCAGACATTACAGCCTGATATCTTGATGTTTTTAAGCCTATTTTATGACGGTTATAGGTGGGATTTATAATGTTACTGAATAGTTAGGCTCTATATTTCCACCCGGTATAATAGCCTGATTTAAATGTTAATTCTAGGGGTATACCTTATACACGATGTATGTTATTAGTGTTTAACAATGACTGTGTATATGGCAGCTGTGAAAATATTTGTAGACCCAGTGTTTGGATGCTGTCATTACAGGCGGATGTGTCTATGCTACAGTATTCTTAACCCACGATGTGCTGACTGGAAGTGGTGAAACAAACCTGTTGTAAAAAAATTATAAATAAAAACAAAAAATAATATTTAAAAAAAATGTATGTACAGTATGTATATGTTTAAAAAAAGATGTAAATAAAAAAATGCAAAAGAATAAATCAAATAATCCATTAATTGCCCATTATATAACATATTAACTATAACTCCCAAGGTTCATTTTGTCAATCAAAATCCAATTGTGTGCTTTAAACTGTGTGCATCTAACATCAGATGTAAGCTAAAAATCTGCATGTTAAAAATATTCATTTAAAAATCTGCAGCCATTATCAATTCCCTTTTTATTTTGGGGTTAACTTTCTTTAAATCTGGCAAACATAATTCAATAAGGAAGTGTTGTGCAATGCCAGAAACACAACTCTGGTAAACACAGAATACATGCTGAGAGCTTTCACTTGCGGAAATAAGCTTAATCAGCATTGTTTAAACTTGTTTGGCGAGGTCAGGGCTTGAATACAATGTTCATTTATTTGTAATAGTCCTGCAGTGAAGCTTTAAACCAAAAACTCATCTTCTGGTTCCAGCTTCCTAAATGTGGATATTTTATTATTTAAAAGAAGACACTGTGGGACCTTCTTTGTGAAAACCAAAAAACGTGTTGTTTTAACTGTAAATGTGCATATATTAAAATTGTATTCAAGCACCAATAAGTTGTGTAGTGTAATTACAAGTATGCTTCATAATAAAATGTTTAAATTAAAGTAAACGTTTTCCATGTTATGCTACTTGTATTGTTTACCACGACCCTGTGGAAGCCAATACTGCAATATTTACATTGTTACTTTACACATTTCAAATTGAATCAAACTTTATTTATATAACACATAGGTAACTGAAAGTGCTTCACAAACCAAACACAATATTTAAAAAATAAATAAAAGCAATACTATCTCCCTCTTCCCAGGTAAAATGTAAAGCTTTGTTATTAAAAAGAACCGTAAATACTAATGCAGGACTGAATAAAACAGGAATAATAAATAAATAAGAATACATAAAATGAAAATAAATACAAATACTTTACAAATAAATACAAATAATTCAAAGGAATAACATAAGAATAAAATAAAATTCAGTTAAAAGCCACATTTTTTCATTTATTTATATAATGTAAAAACACAAAATCAATATACAAACAATTGCTTAAATTCAATTAAAATGGCTTTTAGAACAACATAAAAAATACAAATAAAATAACACTGATGGTAAAATGAATACCAGGTATCAAACAGTGGTCAAAGGATTGTTCAGGTATTTGTTAGAGCAATGCAGCAAGGTCAAATTTAGATAACTCATACACATATTAAAACATGGTATGCCACTTCTAATTTTACTCCATTACATCCATAAAAAGCATCAAGGTGTCTGTCTGTTGATAAAAACATAATATTAAATGAAACCCCAACACAGCTTCACATCTCTAATTATATTTTGTATCTGAGCCCCGCCTCCACGTGCCGCGTCACGCGGAAGTACGTCACAACACTGAAGCTAAAGATGCTTCAACTGCCGTTTCTGCTGTGACTTTAACATTAAGTTTCTCTGTGGCAAACTTTGGCCACACCTAGATCCTGCTTATTTCCCAAAAAAAAAAAACATTCACAAAATCCTGCTTTTTAATTTTTTTCTCCGTGGTGCGTTTGTTTGTGTGACGGCGAGTCCCGGCGGTGTAACCGGAGAGGGGCCTCATAGAGGGAATGCAGGACTGCAATGGAGCACAATGCAATACAGGTAAAGCCGATTTAATTTCCTAAATAAATGTCGAATTTTTGCCACTTCACCCGGCGAATTATCCGCCGGTTACTGGGGAGAATATTATACACTCGAGTCGCGGTGATATGAAGCCCAATTTGGTGTTTTATTTTAATTTTAGTTTGACCATGTCGTATTGATTGTTTTCCCATATCAACCAAACCCGAGTTGCTCCGACTGCAATTACAACTTTATTCAACCAGGGCTCAACTTTTTTTTTCCCTCCACAGGGTGAGAAATATACATGATATTTGTTATTTCAAAGGGGGAATAATCGGGTTTGACACCGAGTTTTTTCCTCGTTTGATATCGGAGACTCAGTGGTTAAATTTCGGTTTAATATTTCTGATATTTTCGCCGTGTTAATGATTAATTTCTTTGTGCGTCGTGTCGACAGTCACAGCTTCTTTTCTGGCTACCAACCCCCACCCACACTAACAACACATTACCTTAATAACATTTAATTGTTCTCCTCGTTTGCATGGCTGAAAATATCAGGAAACTTTTCAGCCTTTTCACCAAAAGCTGAAAAACGACACGTTGCTTCGACATTTTTTTTTTTACTCTGAACATTAATTTCCCCCACAGCGACGTGATATTAAACATTTGAAATCATTTTTTTTCGACAGACTATAGGTGGAGCAGTAGTGTTGCTTTATAATAGGAAGCATATTCATATTATAAAATCCCCACCGACATTTTGTCTCCGTCGTAATTACCCCACAGTTTAAGGAGGAATGTTAATATTGTCTATGAAGGGGGAAATTAGTTTTTGTACTTGAAATAGAGAACATTAATCCTGCCTTTGAACACAGGAAACATTCACAGTTTAAGCAATGTGGGCGAAGATATAACCGATAGTCATTTATTTTTGACAGGATTTCTCCATGTGTGGCGTTTAAGGGGTTTATTTAATATTCCAGTGGTGTATATTTTTATTTTTATATTATTTTAATATTAATTTATTGCAGATGTTTTCCCCCAACTTTTGAGCTTTTTGCAATAACAGGATATAGCCAAGGTCAATAGTGTGTTTGGATTACAATTGTTTATTTATTTATTGTCTGAAGCAGGAGGCATTTTTTAATTAATATTCGTCGGAGGGTTTTTATTTTAGTGCCTCCCCTTTTCTTCCTTCCGTACTGATTTTTTTTGTAAAAAATAAATATCTCACTGCATTATTCCCACAAAATATCACGAGAACTGACGTAGGCGCAGATTAAGGGGTTCCATTTTAAATTCGTGTGTGTGTTCACATTTTAGACAGAGGACTGCCTCTCATTGCTCAGATTATATTTGTGGTTTTTATTTTCCTGCCTGCTCAGCCCTGCTCAGCCCTGCCTCGTTTCCACCACTAGGCTGAACATTATCTGTCCCTCCCCCAGGGCCATGCAAAAAAGGAAATGCCTACATAACACTCCTATAGTACATAATAGTATGTTTTTGATACTCTATACTCACTCAAGGTAGTACTTATCATATTGTCTCTATACTTTAAGTTAAATATATGTATAATATAGTAAAACTATGTCTGCTAAGCTAAAAAATTACTTGATCTCACTTTGTTTTAGTATTTTCCCCATGGTTTCCTACTTTTATATCAATATAGATTTACATGTAATGAACAGGTTAGTTACAGGTTAGTTGATTAACAGGAAATGCAAGAGGAAATAATATGTTTTCATACTTTATATTCACTTGATGGTAGTGCTTATTGTCACTCTGTAATTTAAGTTACATATGTATAATATGCATTCTGGAGATAAAACCATGTTTGCTAAGCTAAATAGTAACCCGATCTCACTTTATTTTTGTATTTTTTTCCTTGCTTTCATGCCTTTTTTACATCAATATAGATTGAAATATAAATGAACTAATGCTTTAAGGATTTATAGGTTAGATCAGGGGTGCCCAACCTTTTTTGAACCGAGAGCTACTTTTAAAGTTGCCAGTCTGCCAAGATATACCAGTCCAAATAGAGAGGCCATTACTGACAGCCTACTACCAGGTAAATACACACTTCTACTTGTATAAAACTGACCTTTGTACAATTAATACTTCATAAAATACTGCAGATGCTTTATTTTACCTCTTTCTAATCTACACACATACAAGTATTTAACTGAAGTTACACAACAGTGTTGTTGATACAGAGTTGGAGTTTATTCACACGTCACACTACAGTGGGTAATGTTTTCAAGAAACATTGAACAGTGCTGCCACATATGACACAGGAAAAGAAGAAAAGACTCTGAACCCTTTCTTTGCCATTATATAAAAATAGTGTTGCTACAAAAGTATAAATTAGGCTTACTAATAAGACAACTCAGATCTGAAGCTACACAGGAATCTGCTGCCAAAGTGCAATAAAAAAAGATTATCTAAAAAATGTATAGAATCAAACCCTTTTTTTGTTGCATTTTAGTAGATTATAAAAATAAATGCCTTTTTTAAAATAGGATCCAAGCAACTCTAGTTTCTTAACCTGAATTGATAATAGACTATAATCAATTTTTAAGTTTTCATTCTTATACCATTTTGTACAATAATTATAATGAATAAGTTCAAACTTACAGCTGATTAATAACGGTATCTAACTTTAGTTTTTATTATATCAAAAACCTGTTGAAATGCTTCTGTTATTTTTTACTGTCCCCAAAAAGCGCGTCGGCAGCCTCCAGGAAAGCTTCTTTCACAACTTCGCCGTCTTTGAAAGACTTCATGTGTTTCGCAAGAACGTGACTGACCCGATAAGATGCTCTGGTAGCAGCCTTGCTCTTGTTGTTGGGCCTGGTGGAAATGGACTGCTGTGCATTTAGCTGTCCTTTCAGGCCCCTCCCCTTTTGGAGCGTAGGGCAGAATTAGGAGGGAATTCCGTCTCGTAGGGTTTGTGCACTGTTTTGAAATGCCGCTCCTAAATTACTCTTCTTCGATAAAGCCACGCTCGCATTGCAGATGAGACAGATGGACTTTGAATTAGAATAGATGCAAAAATAATCATCCTCCCACTCGGAGTGAAAATTATATATTTTGGGCTTTTTTGCTTCTGCCATAATTGCGGTCTTGTGTGTGTGCGGACTGTCACTCCTGTTGACACGGACAACGTCAGCGAAATAGTGCCCACTGCCCACCAGCCACGCCCCGACACATGGGGTCACGCCGGCTAATCACAAAGCTTTGATGCGTTTAAGTGCATTATTCTGGCACAGGAAGATTATGTTATAGGACATTAACGATAAAACCGAATATTGTTGTTCTATTTTTAAACACATCTCGCATTTTCTTTTAATCAATTTAACTTGTTTTAAAGTTAAGATGCCCAAAATGATCTTGCTCACGAAAACATTTATCCTTTTAATTGATCACTGAAACTTTGATACATTTATATTTAAAGCAAAGACGCCACAGATTATCTGGCTCCGGCTTGTCAAATGTGAGGTAAATAAGGAATTTATTTGAGTTTGTTGTTGTCTTTTTCCTTGTTTATATTGCGCATATAACTAGATGTCAACTGCTATTGATTAGTTGAAAGACAAGAAACTACAAATCTTTAAAAAAATTACAAACAATGATCTATTTGTCAATTAAAAATGCACAACATGATACTCAAATGTGGATATTTGCTAGTAATCTCAAGTTTAAATGAGTAAACATTTAATATTGTTGTGCCTTGGTCAAAATAACAATCACATTTTAGATTTTTCAATTTGGCTTTAAATACGCAATAAGTATCTATTACATAAATGTGAATCTTTAGAAAAAATATACAATTATATTCTTATCTAATTCTCTTTAAATGTTCATTTATATATGCCATTGGGCTAATGCTGTGTTTTTATAGTGATTTAATCTGACTTTATTTGTATTTATTGTTCTCATTTATCCTCTTACGTACTACAGCTGGCACTTTGTCTATATAGCCTTTTATTTAAACGGGTCTTAACCATCACACACATGAAGGGCTTCCCGGTTATTTTGAGAGATTTATGTCTTTTCGGTATCCATTTTTCAAAATGAATACCATATTATTCTTTAAATATATGCTATTGCTGACACAGTGGCTTGTGCGGTGTCTGTAGACATTAATAGTGGTTTATATTATTGTAATATTTGTTTTCTTCTAGTCTTATAACTTAAGTATCTAGACAAAAGGTTTTTATATATTCTTATATTTATTCAAAGGTACTCAATATAGTCCTGATCATTTGGCTTCCTTTTATGTATAATTGTGATTATAATTATCCTTTAAAGTGTATATGAGTTTAAAGTGTTATGTCAGCACTTGAAATGTTGTTGCTCTATGAAACCTGATGTACTTATATGATTCTGTTTTCTTCAAGTTTGTATTTTGTTGGTCGAACGCACTTATTGTAAGTCGCTTTGGATAAAAGCGTCAGCTAAATGTAATGTAATGTAATACTTGGTTTTACATTATACTATACTAATGTACTGCGCCTTAATATATATATAATACATATCATCCTATATAATAACTCTTTAATATCATAACTAATGCGTCTGTTGAGCCTAATGGATCTCTTCCTATGCCGTTCATCTTTCTTCTTTGTCAGAGAAACTGGATTCATGTTCTCTTTTTATTCCTCTGATGTCCATCTCATTCGTACTTCATTATATTCCTTCTTATAATAGTTCAGAACTAAACCTTTAGTTCTCCTCACAGGAATCAATGGTGACTTTATCTGACTTCACAATATTATATCTGTCTTAAAAATATCCATAATAGTTTTTGTATTGAGTTCAAAAGAGAATTTATTTGACTTTATTTAGATTTATTTCCTAGTTTGACATATTTCCTTAAATGCCAGTAAAGCTTCTCCAGAGGCCAATACTGTCTTGTTTTATTATGTCCCCAAAAGTACATTATCATTTGTCCTTAAATAGATGGTTAGAATATTAATATAGGGTATCATATACATTTGTAGAATCAAAACATCACAATCACAACAGAGAAAACAAGA